TCATTCACTTGTGAATGATGTTGTTAGAGATAATGGGGGTAGTGCATAATAGAGAAATGAAAAGAGGTAGAAGTATGAAAGATGAGTTTCAAAAGTAAAGATGAAAATCTGTACCGCAGACGTATGTATAGCCGTAGCTAACAGTGAAAGACGCGGTAAGGGGTCATGTTGTCCATGCCCAGAAATAAGGTAGAATGTAACCAGATTGATCGTGGTCGTGGTCGTGGTAAAAGAAGGACCGAAGTCAAGTAATAAAAATTGATGATCGGAGTTATGGTGGCCGGAGCCAAAGTAAAATATGTGAGACGGGGTTACTGGGGCGGTAGCCGTAGTGAAATGTGTGACACTGGGTCACTGTGACCGGAGCCGAAGTAAAATGTGTGACACTGGGTCGCTGTGGCCGGAGCCGAAGTAAAATGTGTGACACTGGGTCGCTGTGGCCAGAGCCGAAGTAAAATGTGACTGGGTCACTGTGGTCGGAGCCGAAGTAAAACACTTGTGCAAAATTGAAAATGGATAAAAGTGAGCAAGAGTGTTGAGATGGGCTTAAGTGGGCCAGTCTGAGAAGTTTGACAAAGAGGCGGCACGCGACGTGACAGCTGTCCGCTGGATGCTGTGCGTAATAAATGCCGCTGTCAAAAGATAATTGTAAGAGCCTAACGGGCAGGTGTAAAGAACGAACCGTCAAGTTCAAAACGGTACCATTTGGGTTTAACCGTCGAATTCGAAACGGTGTCTCTGTAGCCGTTAGATGGGGTTAATCACAGCCGTTGAGGCGTATTTTGCCTTTGGTATAAAAGGCTAGACTTCTGTAAAAGGGGGTTTTTACTCGCACAATTTTGCTACTAAATTCTTGCTAAATTTCTACGGTTTCGTGCGGTTTGCGCTTCGATCAAAACTTCAACAACAGTTTTCAAGACCAAAATCAGGTAATGTTTATGAATTTTTTATTTCGGTTCTGTCCAAGTGTTGTTCTCCTTTCCCCCTTTCTGTGGTTGATTTTGGGTTTTTTGAAGGAAATTAGGGTTGGGAATGAGAATGTATGAAGTGTGTTAGAATTTTTAAGGGTCCTGACTTCGTTCCTCCTCCCCTTTATGCAGAAATTGAGGAGATGTCTTCAGAAGAGCCTATGAGTGTAGTGGGAAGTGAGGTGATGCCTCTCGGGTACGGTAGCATGGATTCGGAGAGTAGTCCATCTCCAACTAGTTCGGAGAGGACGGTGGAGGATAGAAGGGAGACTAGGGTAGTGGAAGAGGAGGAAGATGGAATCCCCTCAAATATTTTAGAGGCTGGGAGTGGGGTAGATGGCTGTTACAACTCGGATTTAGATATAGTGTCTGAGGTGAGGGGATATGTGAGTGAGCTGGGTAGCAGGGGTAGTTTGAGGGGTCTGGTAGAGAACTGCAACCTCCCCCACCATGTCTTGATTAGGCCTGCCGGGGTGAACGAGCGAGCATGCTCGGCACCCCGAGACCATTGGATGCCTATCTACGTTCATTACTTAATGGCAGGTCTTAGAATTACTGGTTGGGCTTTTGTTAGATTATAGTATAGGAATAACCCAATTAACCCCAAATGCCATAAGGGTAATAATAGGTTTTCTTGTATACTGTCGAGCTCGTGGGGTTGGGGCCCTACAATAAATATGTTTAAACACCTTTTTGTAATAAGGGCTGGGGGTAGGGGTGAGAAAGGGTGGTACTACTTCGGTCCTCGATCGTCCAGCAAAGAGAATAGGAGTTTATTCACTGCTGGACCGTCATCCATCAAAGGTTGGAAAGAAAAATTCTTCTTTGTGGATGACACCGAGTGGAGTAGGGGGGACGCCGAAGTAGAAAAATTGTTTGCTTGGAAAGCTAAGAAGACCAAGCAGAACAATTATAAGCTAAATGAGGATGAAATGGAGGAGGTTGAGAAGCTGGTGAGGGAGGAGGGGGAGTTAGTGGATATTATGTATCTCACCAGCGCGGAGGCACTAGAGGCTGCTGAGCTCTATGGGCCAAGCTCATTAAGCGAAGGTCTGTTATTTATGCTTTTTACAATGTACTTTAAATTTTTAGTTATTGTGTTTTAACCTTTGTTTGTGTGCTGCAGCTGAGATGGACGGTTATCTAAATGCTGTTGGAGGGTTGCGCATCCCAAAGAAGCCGAGGAAGAAGTCAAAGACTTCAACTACGGCCGAAAAGGAGATGACAGAGAGGGAGAGACTGTCCAACACTTCTGCCCGAGCTGTGGAGGTGCAGCCAAGGCCGGAGCCTATGATGGGTGGTGGTGAGGAGGTGAGCGAGGAGGTGGCCCCGCTCCAGAGAAAGAAGAGGAAAGTGGCTGAGCCAGAGGTAAAGGGGGATGAGGTGATTGAGTTCGTACCTCACCCTTCCCCTCTTGAGATGGATCCTGAAATCAGGGAGAGGGAGGAGGTTGAGGTGCGAGGCCCTGGCAAGGGCACGGAGCTCATCCCTCCTCACTTGTACGAGAAGAGTTTGTTTGAGGTGAGAAACACAACTAGGGCGAAGCACTTCCTCAACGCCACTCTGCCTGAGGTGGATAGGACGCGGGCGAGGGACGAGGGACAAGGCGGTGAGCCAGCTAGGGGCTACTGTTGTAAGGCATGCCCTGGAGGTACGGAAGGGGGTTGTAACCTATTTATGTTCTATGTTTGAGTTTCTTTTTTCTTTTCTTTTCTTCTTCTTCTTCTTCTTCTTTTTTTT